TTTGTTCGGTTTTGGTAGTCGGTGGACAATGGGCGGCGTGCTAAGCCGTCTTCAATGTGGAGCAGCGCGCTGTAGAGCAGCATTAATGCGGGCAGCTGGCGCCGGGCGGGAATGTGTGCGGGCGAGCAAGAAGAGGGTTTGGGTGGGTCAGTGTGGTCAGAAGCGGGAGTGAGAGATGTCCGGACGCCCGCAAAGCCCTCACATTTGCCTCCGATTTGCGGGAGAAAGTACATCTAGACCGCCTTGTGGATGATACATGTCCGGCCCGTGTGGGATTGCTTCCACAGTCCGGACGTAGGCAGGCAGTTTGAGGGTCGGCGTTGGAGATGCCCTAAGCAGTTTTTAAGCAAGCATTATCGTTGAACGTCATCATGGAGAAACAGTTTTGTTTGAAGCAATTATCTGCCTGAAAAAAATGTGTCTATACCACGCAAACTATGAAAAATATCCCGGTGAAGACACAATTACCTTAACTTTATCCATGAATAATTCAGGTGAAATGACCTTCCGTTAGTGTACACCCATGTCACCATTTGCCATCAAAATTCTCATACCCCCTCTATGCTCTTTCTGCAAGTAGCAACCTTTCCAAGATCCAAAGACTTGCAATCGGCCAGCCCCTTCACCGTGTCAGGATCCATTACATGTAGAGTTTGTATGCTTCCAGTAGCATACAAGTAGATGGAACCTGACACAGCATCAAATTTACGGGAACTTGCAAGGTTTAAATATGCAACTCAAAGGCCATTTATCCATGTTATGGGGCTATAAATCTCGTTGTTTTGATCAAGATTCAGAAACAATGAACACAAGCAGAACTGAAACACGAATATTCTTAAAAGCAAACTTTGTGCTGATTTAATGGCTCAAAAGTGACGATTGGCCAGCATGGTGAGACACATTATATACTATATCATCTAAACGACTATAAATTCTACTCCCTCCATTTCTAAATACTTGTCTTTCTAGGCATTTCAACAAGTGACTACATACGGAGCAAAATGAGTGAATCTACACTCTAAAATATGTCTACATACATCCGTATGTAGTAGTCATTTGAAATGTCTAAAAAGACAAGTATTTAGGAACGGAGGGAGTAGGAGATAAACAGTTCCTCGTCACAGAACATAACTGGTTTCAGCATCAAGCATCAAAAGGCCTCAATTTTTCAGATTACAATTTTGCATACCCCATGGAAAACCCACAAATTCTGCTGTACAAGAAAAATAGATCTCTTTCTACAGGAGACCAAGTTGATAAAACACTTACCAAAGCAGGAGAAGGTGAAGTTGGTGTCGACGCGCGGGAGCACCTGCAATCGGAACAAAAAGGGGTATGTTTAATCTGGGTCAAATTATTATAGTAAAACTATTGACTAATCTAGGTTGACAAACTGAAAGTAATCTCGAAATCAGACCCATCAATGAATAGTTATAGTTCTCTGATGTATTTGGCTGAAAAAGTTAAAAGAAACTGAATTAGGTAAATAGTACATCATACTGTTCATAAGTCCATATCTGTATTTTCCTTATGCTAGACCGGCAACAACTTTCAGATGCAAACACCCTCTCTGGAAATCAGCATTTAACCGAAGTAAAACCGGATGTAGTGCTCGATGACATCAATATGTGAACTGTAATGTCAAAAAGATCAAAGTGAGGTCTTATGAGATTTTTACATTAGGTTCCACCAAACGGAAAGAAAACAGGATGTAAACCAAATTTAGCATAAGTGCAAGGAATATGTGCTAGTGAATTTTATCGGGACTGAGTGCACGATCGGGAAATACAGCAACAAAAATCTCCACTCTGTTATCTAACTACACAAAATTTTGACTACCTTTAAAATTTACATATAACTATGCAAAAAATTGAATTATGCTTACCTTTCAAATAGATAATATATATTGCCGTGGAAAAATAAAGTTGATAAACACAATCAGCTTGGTTTCTCCTCGTACACATTAACACAAACAACTTATGTGCGGTGAAAGGGGAAGTTCATCTTTTCTGTACAGCCGCACTTCAAATATGGGGGTTTGACCCACATGAACCAAAGTAGAGAGAGAGAGAGAGAGAGAGGCGGCGACGAACGGTGGGCGCAGAGCATCGAGGGGTGGACCGGTGGAGGCAGCAACGGCCTCGCCGTTTCTCTCAGTCTCTCTCCCGTCGCCTCTCTGACTCTATGGAAGAAGGGAGGAGCGGGCGCCGTTTCTCTCAGTCTCTCTCCCGTCGCCTCTCTGACTCTACGGAAGAAGGGAGGAGCGGGCGAGGAGCGTCCGCACGCAAGTTGATTTCCGTACGTTTCTTCTTTCCTATAGGTATAGAAATTTTCGGCGAGCATTTTAAAAAAAAGAATTTTCGGCGAGCGACTGGCGGTGGTACGGTCCAACTACTGATATTTTCGTTAGGAGACTTCCGGAAGCGTTCGTTCAACGCCGCCTGTCGTAGCGAACCAACCTGTGGTTGAGATAGTTAGGTGGACAGTGGTATCCCTAACTCATTAGGGTTTAAATCCTAGTGTTCGCATTTTTTCTGAATTTATTTCAGGATTTTCGGCGATGCGCTTTCAGTGGGAGGAGACGTTTTCGTTGACGACGAGGCGCCTACGATAACTTCGTAAATCTCAAGATGATATGCCGGCTCAGTCTCTCGGAGGTGCTCATAAGGGTAGGGTGTGCGTGTGTGCGTTCATAAGGATGAGTGTATGCGCGTGTATATGAGCGCTTGTGTCTGCACTGATGCTCAAAAAACAACGCCGCCTGTCGTCGACGCACGGCAAGTGTCGTTCGTGCGAAGGATCCAAGGGGCTACTTTGTAAAACATTCTTGTGTGAGGGTCTTCTGTGCAAGTTGTCTGCGATGGTGTCATTGGGTGTATCCTCGTCGTATGGTGTGTTATCTGTATTTGTATCTGCATACTATGTGTACTGTTTTCCTGCTCCTATAAATACAGACGTGAGTATGCTTTTAAATAAAAAAGAGAAAGAAAAACATGAGTAGACCGGTCAAAAGCAGTCTAAGAGCATGCATGGATCCAAGAGACTATTTTTAGTCTAACTAAAAAGTCTTTTTTAAAGGCTAAAGTTCCAAGTACCCCTGACTAAAGAGAGGTTAGGACTAGTATTGAGACTAAAAAATTTTAGTTATAGGAAACCTACTAAAATATATATTAGCCCTCTCTCCGCTTATTTAATTCCTCTCCTTAAACACATGCAAGTTTTGGATTGGAGGGTTTGGAGGATAATAAATGCTCAATAACTTGATTTTAGTCTCTTTAGTATTTGGATCCAAGCATGGGTGAGGCTAGCAAGTTTTAGTCCCACTACTACTTTTAGTCATGGGACTAAAACGTATCCAAACACCCTCTAAAACTTACCTCAATCTGTCTATAAAAAACTGTAGCAAAGCAGCTGTCAAGCCGTGGTAAATCTTCATTACCCTATACTTTTTTCAAAACACTGTGAAAATCCGAAGTCTATGTCCTCTAATTTTGTGTACTAATCATTATGGCGGCCTACGGGCGACAAAATTAGCCTCCCTACGAACCTAAGTAACATTGGACTACAAAAGTTTGGAGCAGACCCTTCACGTCTTCAACCACCGGATTGAAGATCGATCGGTCTTTTGAGTTGAGCTTGCTCACCACCGGTCTTGTAATATGACTCTAGCATGATTCCCCAACTTCCTTTGAGTTGAGCCGTCTTTTGAGTTGAGCGGTCTTGATCACCACCGGTCTTCCATCATCATACTCACCACCTGGTGACTACGGAACCATTGTAATGGTTGCATCTTCGATGGCCAACGACCTTGTGTCTCGCGCCTCGTCCAAGTGACCCAGGAAGACGCTCGTCAGTGGGCCAGGGCGGGCACCATAGGGTTACCTAACATGTTATCTGAGTAGTCAGCTTGCATATGCTTCCGGCTGAGCAACCCATGTCTCCTACTCCGGTTATCACCTTCGCGTCGGCTTGTGTACGTGTAATGGCGTAAACGCTGCAGCCGCGATGGCACCACCGCCGCCTTCTCCTCCGGAGCCAGATTAAATTTTGTTTTCTTAGCTTGTATTGGGGCTTGTTTTGCTGTGCCCCCGGTGAGACCTCCTCCTTTTCCTTGTTGTGACTTCTGCTTTATTTTCTTTTTCCTATTCTCGAATCTTGTTGTCGGATGCTTGGTGTTGGTGCTTTATAATATAAAGCGGGGGGCAACCCTTTTTCCTAATGGTGTAAACGCTCCCTATATTCAACTCTGTTTTCATAGAGATGATTGTATGTTCGTGTGTGTATCTGAACATTTACGCTTATACAATATTTTTTTTTAAAGTCATCCGGACTGGATGTTCCATCGTCAGCCCTCACGAGATTGGCGTATGTGGCAACTTCGTTAATTTAAAGATGATATGCCGACTTAGTCTTTTGAAGATGCTCATAGGGATAGAGTGTGTGCATGTGCGCTTATAGGAGTGAGTGTATGTGAACATACTTGTTTGTAATGTGTTCAGAAAAGAAAGATTGGGAAATACCATAAAACCAGCAAATGGGGCCCACCGCCCACGTGGTGGCTGGACAGCGTAAAACAAAGGGAAGGACCTAACTGCAAAACATCAGGCACTCGTCATATAATAAAGCAAAAATAGGCAGACGGACGGATCGCCGGACCAGATGGACGTCAGGATCGTGGGACCAGACCCAAAGCTGTTGATGGGGCCCACATGCGATCGACGCGTCAAGCACCACCTGCACTCTCGCCGCAGCCACACTATATAAGGATACCGCGAGCCCGCTCTTCATTATCGCTCAATCACCTTGCAAATTCTTCCGACCCAAAGCTGTTGATACTGAAGTCAGAGAATCGATCAGGTCCCGTCCGAAAAGGATTTTTTTGATTCGAAAAAGAATCGATCAAGTCCCGTTCTTGGGCCAGCGCCAGCAGCAGCAAGCGTAGATACGCTGTACGCAGAAACCATCCCATTCCCATGGCTGAGCGCTTCCCGACGGTGACGATGGGGCGGGTGGCGATGGGGCAGACCGAGGAGCGCATCTACAGGGACGACGTCATCGCCCAAGACCACGGCAACCACCGCATGGAGGCCGTGATCATGCCACAGCCAATCAAGGACACCTTCTCCATCCTGTTCGGCGGCGACATTTACGAGGTACGTACTCCTCTGTCGACATACAGTGTAGAACATAACATACGTTCTCGAGCTAGTACAAGGGCGCCCTAGCTAGCTATGACGAGATCTAGCTTAATTAGCTTTGTCCTCCATATGCATCCTGCGCATGCCAGATTGCTGGAGTCGTGGCCACTGAGCTGACCGGCGTGGAGGCCGGCGAGCAGACGAGCGGCGGCCTCGTGGTTCCCATCAACTCTGCGCCTGCGCCTGCGCCTCCAGAGGTACTACCTGAGACCAGTTACTTCGTCGTGACGTACTTCTCTTGACGGCAAATTTTCGTGTTTTGACTTTTTTCTGAAACTTATTTGAGATTTGACCCTAGTTTAATTTTTTTTAAGATCTGAACCTTTTGCTACCGCCAGAGTCCATGGCGGTAGGGTCTAACAGCCTACCGTCAGGGACTTTGGCGATAGGAAACATCGCTACCGTGACGGTAGCCTGCACAACCCTACCATCAAGGTGCTTGTCGGTAGGCACGAGCACACACTGTGTTCAATACTTAGGAGGTTTTCGGCGGTAGGGCATGCAACCCTACCGCCAGGGACCTTGGCGGTAGGCTGCTATGCCCTACCGCCATAGTCCCTGGCGGTAGCAAAAGGGTCAGATCTCGACTTTTTTTCAAACTAGGGTCAAATCTCGAATAGGATTCAGAAAATGGTCAAAACACGAAATTTAGCCTCTCTTGGCTTGATTGATTCTTAAGATCCTCCAGCATACGTGCAATTTTTGTAATTGTTAATATTTTGAACCGTTCTTTATTTCATTTTTCACTTGATTATGATCTAATTATAATTTGCTAGAAATCGAATGACAGTCCTGAATCCCACCCGGCCGGCACATAGTTTGTTCCTGGTAGTTTCTCATGGTATAATCCAGGACTGTGTGAACACCTATTTGTTAATCAAAAACAGATTTTTAATTTTCATAAATTCAGAGACAATTAAGAAAATGTTCATCGTGTAGATGTGAACTATGCATGTGAATACTTTTGTTTGGGCAGCTTCTCATTTGTAAGCTATACAGTAAACAGCACAAACATCTGGAAATCCTGTTACAGATTCACAATTTTATCTTTTCTAGCCTATGTATTTTATATGATATTATGCCGAGATATGAGGAACACATGGGCATGTACTAGTACACATCAAAACGTTTCGTAACTTTTTGATTAATATATTATCATGAAATTTACATAAAATAACGAGCTCACTTGAGTACGTTATACAAATTTATGAACTCTTCTTCCAATAAACTATTGATTCCATTCACTTTCTTCCCCAATTTATTCTTGGGCACATTTAACTCGATCCGTAACCCTTCACCGGGTTTATGGGAGAACACATGGTTGAAAATTCTACAAAAATACATATGTGAGGCTGGTTGGTTGGAGTATCACGTACATATACATTTAGCTTTAAGAATTGCAACTCCAACGGTGCGTTAGGAAGGATCTTCCTTTGCTTGATATACCTGAACCCCAAGTGTTTGGTCTTTCTGGCCATGGATGGCGTCCACCTGATCAGGGCTGGGTGAAGGTTAACATGGATGGCACACTGAACTCTGAGAAAAGCACGGCAGGGGCTGGTGGTGTGGCTCGATCTGCCACAGCTTTGTTGGGTGCTTGGTGCAAACCCCATGTTGGGGGTTACTGGTCCAATGATCGCTGAGCCTTATCACTGAGAGATGGCATCATCTTTGCAAAATTGAGAGAATACTCACATGTGATAATGAAAACGGATTGCCTGGAGGTGGTGAACCTCTGGAACACTTGCCGGCAACTGACGTTCTGTTTTGGCACCGATACTCTTAGAGATTGGAGAGCTTGCTTCGTCATTTATTTCTTTAGTTATTCAACATGTAAACAAGTCTGCTAATTTCCTAGCCCATCTAAGCGCTAAGCGTGCCTATACTCGTTGATGGTCACCAAGAGTTGGTTGGATTCTTAACCTCCCTTCCTGGTGACCAGCCTTCTCGCTGATTGTCTCAGGAGTTCTTTTGTTTGAATAAAGCTCTCTAAATTTCCCGCAAAAAAACCTCGACAAAATATTAAAAAATGGGCTACTTGATGTTTTTCACGAGTTACAAAATTGCATATTTTGAGATGAAAATTTTCTCAGATATACTTTTTAGCTTTCCACAGATATACTTCTCCATATAAGCTACATGATGTGAGTTTTTTTTTCAAGAAGAACGCCTTTAAAGGTTATGTTTTACTAACAAGGGCTAGAGCTAAAATGCTTCTCACATAGTAGTATTAATTATGGAAGGTAAAATGAGCTGAAAACTAGTTTGAGGAGGAAAACAAGCCAATCTAGTTAACATGAAGTGCACCTTCTCTTTGAAAATACCCC